CATGGTGGCACATGCCTGTAATCCCAGCACTTGGGAGGCTGAGGCAGGAGGATTGTTGCAAGTTTCAGACCAGCCTGGGCTATAGGGTAAGCTCAAGGCCAGCCTGAACTACATAGCAAGACTCTGTCTCAAAAAGACTAAAAAATAAAAAATAAAAAATTGCTAAGTCTTCTGTTTACATCTTAGATGGTGAGGAATCTATTCCCATTTTACAAATGAGCAAACTGAGGCTTAGTGGGAAAAATTCAGCTGCTTGCCCAAAATCATTCCTAGTAAGTGACAGAGCTAGGATTTAAACCAGATCTCTGATCCATACCCTGTTCTCTCGGCCATGACGTGGCACACCATCTCTAGGCAAATATGAACATAATTGCGGTGGGCAGTTTACACGTGCAATCCCACGTAATTCATTAACAGTCAGATGGAGGGTGTTGTTATGCCCATAGTTTACAGGTGAGGACAGAGACTCAGGAAGATCAAACAATTTTCCTCGGTCAGCTGCCTAATAAAAGGTGGACTGCGTTTGAACTCCAGCTTGTTTAACGCCAAGCTTGTTGCACAATTCTGCCTCCTGTTTCTGTCCCTGCCCCTTCTGGCTGCACTGTTTCCTCCAGTCGTGTTCCCTGGTTAAATGATGGACACTGTGCTTGTGAAACCCTTGTAAGTGAGTGCCACGAGCCCCCGACGGCAGACAGGAATGGTTGCTAGAAAGGTAAACTAATGAATTGGCCTTCTGGTTGCTTAGACGTTGGTGTCTGAGTCTGTTTGGTGTAAGTAAGTAAGGTCAACCTCATGGCCTTTCTGGTGTGCGCTCTGTGACAATCGCCTTTCATTTTATGTACTTGTTTACTATTTATTTTGTGGTGCTGAGGGTTGAGCCCACAGCCTTGGCACACCTCTAGACTTTTTTTTTTTTTAAGCACAGGGTCTTGCTAAATTGCCCTGGCTGGCCTCAAACTTTCAAGCCTCCTGCCTCAGCCTAGGCTACATGGTGAGTTCAAGGCCAACCTGAACTACTAATGGAGACCCTGTCTCAAAAAAACCCAGAAAAACAAAAAACCAGACAGAACTGCCAGAAGGAAGGAAGACAGGAATGGAAGAAGGGAGGGGGGCAGGAAAGGAGGGAGGGAAAAAAGGAAGGAAGGAAGGAAGGAAGGAAGGAAGGGAGGGAGGAAGGAAGGAAGGAAGGGAAAGAAAGGTGGTTATCTGGTGAGTAGAGAGGCATGGGCTGAGGTGAGGGCTCAGGGTAATATAAGCGTCTATACAGATAAATATTTCAGTGCTGTGAGGCAAGGCCCAACAAGTACAAGCTAGTTGGGCGTGGTGGTGGTGCACACCTTTATTCCTAGCACTCAGAAGGCTGAGGCAGGAGGATCACCATGAGTTCAAGTTGCAGGCCAGCATGGATGATACAGTGAGTTCAAGGCTAGCCTGTGCTACAAATCCAGCCTTGTCTCAAGAAACCAAAAAATCCAGCAACTAACCAAGTGGAGGCTCAGTTCTGCTGTGGCTTCTCCATTGAAGCTTGGCCTCCTTTTGAAATCTCTGACCCTCCAGGCAGGATGCCCCCGCCTTTGTGACACCCCCACCCCCGACCCTTTTACTTCAGGTTCATGCTGTCCACTCACTCCTTGCCAGGCCTGGCAGTTTAGGGCAGGGGACTTGTCATCTGGGAGAACAGAGGCAGGAGGCTGTCTGGGGATAGACGAGCGTCCAGGAGAGGCAGAGCCGGGCTGATGTCGTGTCTCTTCTCCCGGGTGCAGTGCTGTGACTGCCGGCGCTGCCCTGTCTGCCTTTCCTGGAGACAGCCCAGAGCAGGGGCCAGCCCCACGCAGCTGGTGACGGATGGCTTCGTCTCGGGTGCCTTGGAGCTGCACACGGCCCCCTGGCCCCGCACAGCCACTCCACTCTGGTCCTTCTGGCAGCCGCAGAGGCTCAGCCACTGAACCGAGCACCCCCCACCGTGTGGTTTTGAGGCCACAGGGGAGGCAGCTCTGCGTGATGCGTGGCGTGGGTCCTGCCAGTGCTGGCTGCTTGCAAACCTCTGCAAGGTGACATCGCACTTGTCCCCCTCCTCTCTGCGCTGTCCTCTTTGGTTGTGAATCCAGCAGTTTGCCCACCTGGGCGAGGCCTCTGCTGGCCTGCACCAGGCTCCCAGGGAACAGCGCCCATCACCAGAGTGCCAGGCCACGCGGTGGGCATGTGTGTGGTTAGCTCTCGGCACCGAGTCACCTGCCACCAGCCGCCATCTGGGTCAGCTCTGAGTCCGGATACCCCTGGCTCTGGCCTGGGTTCTGTGTTTCTTCAAGGGAGCCATGCGGCAGCCTGCCTCCGGGAGGCAGGGCTCTCGGACGCAGTGGCTGACCTGGTGGCTCTATCAGAACGTGGACTGCAGGTCCCACAGGCTCTGCTGCTCTGGCGGACCTGGAACTCAGATTCCTTTTTTTTTTTTAAGCATAGTGGAACTCTTAACAGATTCTTGATAAGTTCCTGAGGGTCGAGGTCACCGTGGGCTCCAGGGCTGCATTGTTTGAAAGTCAGCGGATCCTGCAACTGGGACCCTGAGAGCCTCAGCTCCCTGCCATGGCCTCAGTGGCCTCCTCTGCAGACACCCAGGTTCCTGGTTCAGGCAGTGTGTGGATGACGACGGCACGTATGCTGGCAAAGTGGATCCCAGGTCTTTTGGCTCACGTGGGACTAGCGCGGCACTGTCACGCCTGTTAGAACCAGGATGACCTTGAGGAGCTCACTGATATCCTCACGCCTGTGCGGGGCACACGTGTGTGTCCTTCTTCATCTCATGAGTAAGGAAACTGAGGCTCAGAGAGATGATTTGTCTTCTGCTTGGGGCTTGGCCGCGTGACTCCCAGCTTTGAGACTGGTTCTCCTGCTGGGTGCCCCAGGCCCTGCGGTTTGCTTCTCTTCCCCCAGCTGGGCCTCGCTATGCCAAAGCTCCACTCAGGCAGGTCAGAGGGGAACCGGGTCCTAGAAGGGGAGGTCTGTAGGCTGCTTCGTGTCCAGACCTGTGTGGAAACTGTTCCTTTAGGCTGCTGAGTCTTGTTGATTGATCACTGCCATCCCCTCAGCTCTGCATCAGACACCAGGATGCAGTGGACCCCCTGAGTGTAGTGCCCCCTCATATGTTTATTCTGATCTTGTTTGTTTGTTTTTTGGTCTCCCCCCCCCGCCCCCTCCCACTAGGAATTGAACTCATGACCTCGCACTTGCCAGATAGGCGCTGTGCCGCTGAACTAAATCCCCAGCCCCTATTTATTCTGATCTTGAACATTTGGAAAGGGATTTCACCAGGTGTGGTGGTGCATACCTGTAATCGCAGCATTTGGGAGGCTGAGGCAGGAAGATAGCTGAGAGTTCAAGGCCAGTCCGAACTACATAATGAGACTCTGTCTCAAATGAACAAACAAAACCAAATTTCACATACAACTCTGTAATTCTGGCTCCTTGGATAATTGGAAGCCCTGCGTGCTGGGACACAGTCCCACAAGGGAGTCTGTTTGGGAGTCTGGTGGCCGCCAGCCGTTCAGAGCCTGCGGTGGGCCTGAGTGCTCACGGACAAGAGCCATCACCCACACCTGCCCCTCTCCCTTCTTCACGTACGGGAGCTGGGCGTGTGGGTTAAAGGTCTTCCCCACCCAGCGTGACCCATCTTACTTGCTTACACCGATTTATAGCCCAGGGAACCCAAAATTCATCACACAGTCTCCCTGATTCTTCGCTTGGGGAGCGAAGTCGGCCAGGGGCCCCATGGCAGCCTGCGTTGGCCAAGCAGTTGTGCCAAGTCGGACGGGCATCCTCAGCTATTCCTGTGTGCTGATTCGTGTAGCCCTGGGCAGTCGATTGTTACTATACTGTGCAGAGCGGCCTGAGGCGCAGAGAAGTCTCATGGCTTGGCCCTGGTCACGGGTGGAGGCAGAACTGCTGTGAATGCAGCAAGCGGCAGGGTCTGCAGGCAACGGCTGTGCTGGAGTCGTGCGTGAAGCCCAGCAAGCTGCAGCCTTCCCCGCCAGGCTCCTCCCTGTGGCCCACCTTTGTGTGGGTTGTGCTCAGGAAACCAAGTCCAAGCTCACTGCTGATCCCCGGGAGGTAGCACAGGCCTCGGTCGCTGTTCTAGCTTCTGAGTCTGATTGAGGGCCTTCACGTGTGATGTACAAACCAGCTCTGGCAGGTGTGGTGTCAGGACTGTAATCCCAGCACTCGGGAAGCTGAGGCAGGAGAATCACCGTGAGCCCCAGGCCAGCCTGGGCTACATAGTGAGACTCCCGTCTCAAAACGAACACTCTGATTCTCCTTTTGACCCAGAGGGGATGTTTCTAAACTTCTACTTGGACAGATTTATGTCCATGCTTGGGGTGAATGCTATCTCTGTCTCCTTCCCTAGTAGATAGAAGAACCATCTGGAAACTCTAATGTTCTAAATAACCTTTATCTTGTGGCCCTGATCTAAGTAAATATAGCTAGTACCAGATGGGACTCTTGCAATGCAGAGTTCTTAAGGAAAGAGTGGATTCATTTTGAGTTTTCTTAAATTAGGTGAGAGCGTTTCCCTCAGGCGGTGAACTCCCACGAGCCACTTTCGCAGTCGACCTTCAGGGCTGTTAAACTCTAAGCAAAGCTCAGCTATTCTGAGCTGCATGCACCAGCATCCCTGCTTAGAGTTCCTTTTTTAGATGAGTTCATAAAGGCTACTTATATGTTTGGATGTTTCATGGGAAAGAAAGTCTTTGACTGGGTCACTCATATTCAGTACCCTTTTTTTTTTTTTTTTTTTCTTTTTGAGACAGGGTCTCACTATGCAGTTCAGGCTGGCCTTGAGCTCACTTTGTAGCCCACGTTGGCCTCGAACTCGCAACAATCCTCCTGCCTCAGCCTTCCAAGTGCTAGGATTATGGGCGTGTGCCACCACACTCAGCTTTTTTTTTCTTTTTTTTTTTTAATATACCTGGGGACCTGGGGTTCCATACTTTTTCCAGGTCCTTGATGTCCTGAACAAAGAATTGGGAAGAGGTCCTGCTGCTTTACATTTATGAAAGGTGGAAAAGAAGTCTCTCTGCAGAGAGTGGGCTGCTGAGAATGCTCACAGTGGCCACGAGGTTAACGGTGGAAGGCGCCCTCAGATCTAGGATGTCCTGTGGAAAACCCGCTTGATTTCGGGCCAGAGGAATTTGAGAGCACTTTCTGACTGGTCCCAGGGGCAGGGCTTGGGGGGCATGTTCTGCACGTGTGTCCTGGATCTCAGTGATTGATAGATCACACCCACTCTGTCTTCCAGTTTGTTACAACCTAATGCCCTGCCTCAGTCTTGAGGACGGAACCCAGGTTCTCAAGCACCCCAGGCCGGTGTTCTGCCGCTGAGCTACAAACTCCGCCCTTTATGGCTAGCGTAACCTTATACCTTTGCTGCCTGAAAATCACAGTGAATTTCAGGCCATGACTGCCTTATTTCCCTTACTTTATCTTCACAGTTCATCCATCCGGCTCAGGGAAATAAGTCACAAAAGGCCAAACACTGTAGGGTTCCACTTCCATGAGGTCCCTTGAGGAAGCGGATTCACAGGCAGAAGGCAGAGATGGGGTGGCACAGGCTGCGGCGTGGGACAGGGAGACCAGGGAGACGCTCTTGAACTTAGCTCCCAAGCTTCTGGCTTAGGCGAAGTCCGACAGCCCCACACCGATGCCCCTGCAGTGCACTTT